TACAATAAACCTTATAGTATATGAGAAATTATAAGTCAAAGATTAATTTTGAAGATTGTGCTAAGTTTGACCATGCCTTATATTATGGGATGGAGGGAGTATATCTTAATATCAACGTCCCGCATACCATAAAGTTACGTTATCGGATATAACCTACAATATGATATTTCTTTTCAAATATTTTTGTAATTACATACTCTCTCCGTTCTATATTGACCATCATATAAGTTTTTTTCATCAAGACCAGTAAAGACTTACTCCCTCCGGTTTCATATTAATTGACGTTTTGGACAAGGTTGAGGTCAAACTTTTATAACTTAGACTATCAATAACTTTAAAAATATTTAGTTTAAAGGAACTAGAACAACATATATAGATTTGTCTATAATAAAAGTAAACATGTATTTATTTATTATAAATATTATAATAGAAAAATAAGGTCAAAGATGTATCTTGTAGACAGTGTCATTGTCCAAAATATCAATTAAAATAAAACTGGAGGGAGTAACTTCCATGTGTTTTATTTAATGTGAGTATGTGGTGAAAAAAGAAATCAAGAAATATGCTGACTTTAACTCTCCCACGTGCACAAGAAATGAATGCCTAACTATCCCAAATGCATCCATATATGCATTGAAGCAATAATGTTGCACGTCAAGCGAAGTGGCCAGGGTTGATGATAAATTTGAAAATTATGATGTTTAGTTATGTGATAATCGTTATGTAACGGTGGGAGTATTTAAAAAAAGTAATAATCAAACAAGTGCCTTGGAGGCCGTGTTAATATACAAAACTTGAAGTAAAAAAAGGAACAAAAGTAGTATTAGATGAAGTAAATAATAGTAATATTACAGTAGATGATAAAAATCTAACAAGAAAATTAACTGTATACTAAAGCCTCAAATTTATATTATGTGAAAAAAATCTATATATTGAAAGTTTTGTTATTAAATTTCATTGTACCAAATCTTTCTTCATCAATTTACAATTTGGGCGGTAAAGTTTTAAACAAAAAATGCAACATGATTTTTGTGATTTATAATATCACAAATCTTTATAAGAAATTTGAAGAAACATTGATGTGTTTTCCACATTACTACTTCTGATTCTATGTATTTTTCAACTACTCTTCCCTGTTTGCGCACACTAAATAAATGATACCCTTATCACTAACTGATTCATCTCTTGTACTGCATTATATAGATGGATGTCTTTTTTTTTTTAGAATATAGATGGATGTCATTAATTATAGTGATTTGAGTTGTTTTCTTCATTCCTGTGCACGAGTCTATAACAACTTGCATTTCGAATCAAAGGAAGTAGAGCACAACAATTACCCTTAAAAGAATCTGAATGGCAATATATAGTGTTTTTGTACTACATATATATGATGCAAGAGGAACATTATTTGCCAAATTGGATCTGTCGGAAATAGGTAGTAATTAACAAAATGACTTATGTTAAAAACATGCGATATTATAATGAATAGAGAAGTTCCCCATGGGAATATCATGCCTCTGCGGTTTTGACAAAACCATATGGTAGTATATATGCAACTTTAAGCACATGTGGATGGATGCAGATCATCCCTCTCCATTATTGCACGAATGTAGTATAGCAATAGCTTTTCTGAGTTAAGTACAGTAACTAATGGATAGTGTATAGTATTTCTCTTGTATCAAAAGTAGTCACATCACTGGTGGAGAAACCATCTTTCGTCGGTCGGCCGATTTTCACAATAGTCCCGGATGCAATAAAAACCGGGGCTAAAGATGATCTTTAGTCCCGGTTCAAAAGGGTAACGGGCATATTTGATCTTTAGTCCTGGTTGGTATATATATACATATGCATTTGCATAACATATATATGTATAAATACATATATATTATGCATGTACATATGTACTGAACCATATATATATATATATATATACATATATATATATATATATATACATATATATACATACATATATATATACATATATATATATATATATATATATATATATATATATACATATATATATACATATATAAACCATGCAATAACAGGGCCATGAAAAAAAAAAGATCAGCTCGATCTTTACCAACCGGGACTAAAGATCGATCTTTAGTCCCGGTTATTTCACCCGGGACTAAAGATAGCGATCTTTAGTCCCAGATTGGTACTCCCGGTTTGGAAACCGGGGCTAAAGGGGGTTACAAACCGGGACTACAAAGGGTTTCTCCACCAGTGCATGTACTAATTAAAGGGGTTTTGCCCCGCTCTATACTGCATTTACCGTTTCCCAAAAATAAACTGCATTTACTGTAGCATTCGATATGAGCCCGTAGATTTCGATCGGATGGATAAGAAACACCTCTAATGCCCGGGACTGTTTATCTTCTATATGAGAACCTCCATTGCAGAGGAAACACACCCGCGTACCTCTTGCCCTCATTAGACACCAGGGGCTTTAATTTGTAAAGTTGTGGGGTATTGATAGCCTTTGCGATTGTTTGTAGACGAATGCTGGAAGGTGCACTCGATCACCATGTTCAATTAACCTTGTACTACTACCTTCATATTTTAATATATGACACCATTGACTTTTTATCTAACGTTTAACCATTCGTCTTATTTAAAAAAAAGTAATTATCATTTATTTTATTGTGACTTGATTCATCATCAAATGTTCTTTAAGAATAACATAAATATTTTCATATTTGCACAAAAATTTTGAATAAAACGAATGGTTAAACGTTGATAAAAAAAATCAACGGCGTCAGATACTTGAGATGGAATAGCCGCCGCTAAAACACAATGTTGTGATTTTTTTTCTCACCCAGTCACCCTGACAACTCCTCACTAGTGAAATAAAATGGAGTACTATGGAGTAATATTATTGCTAGTCTTTGCTCCCAACAGATGAAATCAAATGATGGGCCGTATATAGCCAACAGCCAAGAGCTAGCGAGGGGATGCATGCACGTACGTCCCTACTATGGTGGCCATTAATTTTTTAGAAGACATTTCCGATAGCTCTTTGAAGCCGACTGACCAAGGAGACTGACCAAGGAGACTTAAGAGCAAGTTTAATAGTACAGCCCACTACTAACTCCAATTCATCTATAGTTAATATAATAGCCAATTCATACAATAGTTGTTTACTATACTATTAATATATGGTCCCACCTATCATACACACAGTGTCTTGGAGTCCGTGCTGCAACTGTCTACAGATCTATAACCCGTTGCTCTTCTCTCTCATCGTTTATCTTATTAAAATATATTTATAGCTAGTTAATAGTCTGCTATTGTACCTGCTCTAATTTGTCCTACCCAGCTCTCTCTCTCTCTCTTCCAATCAGAGTTGTTCTGAACTTTTTCTCTTTGTTTTTTTTCTCTTTTGAACAAACGTTCGTACATACAGACGTACTTGTTCATAATCTAAAACAATTACGACTAATCCACTATCTGTTGATGGGAACCAAACTTGAATGCCCACATATATAGTAGTATTTGACCAACCTTTGCGTGTGGATAAGGGATTATAGCGCACGTTTTCTCAATTTGCTTATGTAACACGAGGACTTGCCGTTCTTGGAAGAGAGCAGAATTACCTGCTATCAAAGCAGCGATCGCCACGACACTATTCACCTACGTATTCAATGTGAGCAGCCCTGACCAGTGACCACACATATATACGCAGACACGTATTTCTAGGGCGCAAAAGCCGTCGATTATATCGCCGATTGGTGTCATCGCAGAAAATTTTTTGATGCGCACTGTTCACACAAACTTTACGACGTTGTACATATATGTGTGTACACACCCGACTAATAGTACTACTAGGCTAGCTGCAGGCTGCAGGAAGCAACAAAGCTACAGTAGCTGGACGTGCCAAAGAGAGAAGAGATCGCAAGTAACCTCCTCACTAAGGAGCACGCGCGCGCCGGTCAAAATAACCGGATGCTTCACATGCTTTGCTCGCCAGATAGCTTATCTTTCCTCATCTCATCCAAAACGACGTACAAGTACAAATATACTACTAGTCCACTTGTTTAGATAGCTCTTGCGACGCTAATAAAGCTAATTAGTAGTACGTACTACTGGATTTGGGTCACGTCTGTGTTCCGCTAAAAAAGAAGTACATTTTGGAAAGGTACAGCTCGAGCATGCGCTGACGTGAAAACCGCGCTTGGAGTTGTTAGGCGCGCTCGTTGCATTGTCTCCCGGGCCCCGGAACCCGACAGGCGACAACGCCTTGCGTTGCGTTTCCCCCTCCTCCCTATTTATCCATCCGAACCTTCAGATTAATATCTCTGCACGTCGTCGGTTGATCTCTCATGTGATATATTGTTTCGCGCACATCACGTGTGGTCACAAAATCATCTGCCACACTACCACCACCGGGCGGCTAAACAGTGAATCGTACACGTAGCTAGCAGCTAGCTATCTGCGCGCCGGAAAGAAAAGCGCGAGGCGTGCAGGAATGCAGGAAATTTCACAGTTGTTCGTCCGATCCGGCCGATAGTGCGATCAACTGCGCGCGGCGTACGTCGCTATCGGCAAAAAGAACGGCATGCGTCGTCGCGCCGTGGAGTGTACCTTAATCGCGCGCCAGTAGTAAAGCACGGCGAGTGACGACTGAGCTAGACGTACGTCGCCGGCAGACGCAAATTCCCGGTTTCCATTTCCATACAGTATAATCGACCGATCCATCCATCGATCTCGACTTCTTGGTATAAAATGATGTACTACCAGTGAGTGTGACGCAGTCAGAGTCAGTCACGGAGGCGCGCGTACGTACGTACCAGCCGTGCATGCTTTGGCTGTGGTTCGATCGCTTTCTAGCTCGCTGCAGCTAAGCTAGCTGCACTACTCAAAAAATTATCAACTGCCACTCCTAGTGGTACTGGTTGTACAGTAGTTTTACCACTATTTGAGCCAGTACAGTAGTACAGCACAGGACTGGCTCACCCTCCCAGTCTCCCACTATAAATCCCCCTGGCCGCGCTCCGAGCTCACAGACTCGGACACCACCGGTCACTTGAATTGTCAAGCTAGCTAGCCTTCTCATCAGCCTGGCTCTCAGTCTCAAAGAAAGCACAAAGGTAGCTAGCTTAGCATCGATTGAAGCTGACCAGAGAGATAGTTAAGAATTTGCCATAGCTTAGTGTTTGGTGCATACACACAACTGCTCTCGTTGTTTTTGCTCTTTTGGGTTCGCTCGGAAGATGAGCCGTGAGGAGGATGAGAAGCTGCTGTTCCCTTCGTTCGCCTTCCCGGCGGAGTGCTTCCCGGAAGCCGCCACCTCCGGTACGTACGCGCGTTTCTTTGTCTCTTCTTTACCTCGCCCAAGTGTGCTGCTTCGCAAGCTGGAGCTGATGGCAATGTGTTCTTGTCTCTCTTTTGTTTGGTTGGTTGTTGTGTTGCAGGTGGCGAGCAGAAGAAGGCTCGGCAGCGGCGGAGGAGGAAGGTGAAGCCGGAAGCGGCGGCAGCGTTGGCTGGAGAGAGCGGAGGGGATGAGCAGGCGAAGAAGCGGCGGCTGAGCGACGAGCAGGCGCGGTTTCTGGAGATGAGCTTCAAGAAGGAGCGGAAGCTGGAGACGCCGCGCAAGGTGCAGCTCGCCGCGGAGCTGGGCCTCGACGCCAAGCAGGTCGCCGTCTGGTTCCAGAACCGCCGCGCCCGCCACAAGAGCAAGCTCATGGAGGAGGAGTTCGCCAAGCTCCGCTCCGCCCACGACGCCGTCGTCCTCCAGAACTGCCACCTCGAGACCGAGGTAACTAGCCAACTCGATCGAACAGACGAACACCACACAGTACATCGCGCGCTCGTTCTCGTTCGTTCGTCGTTGCTGATGGAGATGAACTGTGGCTTAATTTTGATTAACGTACTTGCAGTTGCTGAAGCTGAAGGAGAGGCTGGCGGATGTAGAGGAGGAGAAGGCGAAGCTAGCAGCTGTCGCCGCGGCGACGACCGGCGGCGGTGGTGGCGGCGGCGGCGGCAGCAGCAGCCCGACCTCGTCGTCGTTCTCCACGGTGACGTACCACCCGGCGCTGGCGGGGCAGTTCGGCGTGGAGGCGGCGGCCGAGGAGGCCGACCTCACCTACATGAGTGAGTACGCGTACAACAGCTACATGCTGGAGTTGGCGGCGGCCGGCTACTGCGGCGGGGTCTACGACCAATTCAGCTGAGCGCCGCCACTCGCCGGGGCCGGCGCCGACGGAGGATTAACTAGCTACAGTAGCTGTTAATTAATGGATCGATCAATTGCAGGGTAGTAATTCAGTAGTGGTGGTGTTTATTAGTAGTATCAATGATCGATATATCATCAGTCGTGTTGCCCTAACGAAAAATCTTTAGCGGTGACTTTGCTAAGCCATGTAGATTATTAAATTGGATGTCTTTGTAAGTATATGTGTTTAGAATATCATGCAAGTGGTTGCCATGGACTGATTAATTATGCCATGATGTAATATTTGGTACTGGTACTACTCACGATCAGAGCACAGAAGATGCATGCACATGTTTTGGCGTCTTCTGCCTTTTATGCCACCTTTGCTTTGTTCAATTGTTCGTGATGTGGATGGAGTTCGGCCTTGGCCCAATTGATTGGGCATTTGGGCTTCTTCCCACTCTGGGCTTCAAAAACCACATAATATGATTTTTTTTTTCCTTTTTGCAAAATTACTGGATGGCATGTGCATGCACAGTATACACATTGCAGACAGGAATAACTATTGAACTAGCACAACTCTCTCTGAATCTGGGAGATAGGGAGGGAGGGGGAGGGGGGGGGGGGACAATGGCAGCCTGCAGGTTGCGTAGCTACACTTGGATTGCGATGTGCTGTCTGTAAAAAACCACGAGCGATTATCCGCATCAAATGATTGCAGCAGATGAAGCCATCATCCGCAAAGCCTTCATCTCTGCCTTTCTTTTTCTCCCTTCCCATGGTGATGAGGAGGAGGAGATAAGTCTGCAAAGTAATACGACCTGATCAAAAGCGAAGCCACCTGTGCGCGTCCTTGCTTCTGCACCACCGGCCGCCACAGTACGGTCACACACACACTGACACACACGCACACGAAGCAAACAGCCCAACCAACCAACCAACCTAATGAAACCAAGACAGGGACGTCGTCGTCGCAGGAATTGGAGGCGGCGGCGCTCACGTAATCACCGTGCTTTTCTCGCGTACGCGCGCACGTCTCTCTCGCGGGACGCCGCTGTCGTCGCGCACGCGAGAACCCGAACACAACGACCACCCAAAACAACACCACGAGACGTCGCGATCGGGGGCGCTTTGATGGCACGGACGCTGCATATGCCCTGGTGCAGTGGCTCGCCGAGGGAGCAATCAGCGCGGGAAGCGTGTGGGGTTGCGGTGCAGTGCAGAGAACACCAAAGGAGGCCTAGCTTGCCTTTGCTTACTCCTGGAGGCATACAGGATATGGGATATGGGCGTTCTTATCCAGTATTCCTCCCCCCATGGATGGATGGATGGATGGATCGTGGTCGTGGGGGAGGTTGTACGACGACGCAGACGGAGTCGATGAGGATGGAACTGAGGAATTTTCAGCGCCACTGTCCACTCTCCACGACGGTGGGCCCGGTCCAAGCGAGAAGGAATGATCATCTTGCCAATGATTGAGCATTTGAGCCTCACATCCAGATCAGAACGCCATTAGTTTTGGTTGCCTGGTGAACTGATATGTAGACTGTGTTTAGTTCACACTGAAGTTTAGAAGTTTAGTTAAAATTGGTACAATATGGTAGAAAAGCTGTATGTATGAAAGTTTGATGTGATGGAAAGTTGAAAATTTGGAAAAAAAACTTTAGATCTAAACAGGGCCTACGGCCACCACCGTACGATGTGTACTTCTATTCTACAACAGCAGTTTGCACAGAAATGCTTTTTTTTAGGGAATTGGACAGAAATTCTAGTAGCAGCTAGTAAAAGGAAAAACAAATACTAGTAGCAGGTCAGGCAGCTACAACAGCTGAAAGAATAGTGGATTAATAATATACAAAATACATCCCGGTTCGTGTCTCATGATCAGTACAGGGGGTGGGTAGAATTGAGAGGCATTCACTCTCACCCACACAGAGACACCTCTCCAGGTGACTCACTCGCATTAGTTCCACTTACATGATACAACAACACCACCAAGCATTTTGACTGATACCGAGCAAAAAGAATTAGCTGACAGTTGCGGCAGCATGCAGGGTAGTGCCCTCCAGATGTTGCCACTGACCAAATTAGCCTAACTTGGTATCAAAAGTTACACAAGGGAGGCCAGGCTACCTATTCCTCAGTGATGGAGCGCTGGATTTCCTTGATGAACTGTACGCAAGAGGCTCTTTCACAGGTGATGTCGGGAACGGGGAAGATGGGGGCAGCTGCCTCTGGCTCGAGATCGAAGAGAAGCAGCTCAACGGGTTCCTCAGCCGCCTTTTCTCACAATCTTCAGGTCGACTGTTTGGATCATGGCCGACTGGGGATATCTTGAGTGATTCTGGCAGAAGGCAGTTGCAAATGGCACCTACAGAGAGAAAAGACACAGAGTTCCAGCTTGATAATAAGAATCTCAAATACCAGCGGAAGCTCCAAATCGTTATGACAAGAAGCCAATGTCTTAAATTAATGGATGAAGCTGCTGGATTGGTCCTGCTGCTTAACGCAAAAACTGGCTTTATGCATGTTGCAGTGCTTGTGTTTCTTAAAAAAAAGGACATCCAAAATCTTTTAGAAGATGGCACAAAGTGGTGCCGAGTGCATCTATACAAACAAGTCATCATTTTCCTTTCTTTTTTATTTTGAAAATTTTCTTCCTTCTCACAGAGAATCCTAAGTCAAATTACTGTAAAGAGTTGCACTAGCAGAGATGATGTGATTGCTAAAGTAGTTTTTTCTTTACACAATGATCAATGAAGATAATAAGAAACTTCAGTAAGCATATTTCTGGAAAGTGAAGTGGAGCCGATAATTTGTGGGCAAAATATGATGGCGGTAACTGTCAGACTGCTCAATGCATTCTGACTAAGCACATTCAGATGCAGTCATTGGTTTCATAATTTCCTTGACTTTGTAGGAGACCTTGAACAGCTAATATAAGCATTAGTGGTTGAATAAAGGTATGGTACCTATTCTGGCGAGGCGATTTACCCATTTTGGAATTTTGTTACCAGTCAATTTGTAACACATGTCCTTGCAAAAGTGGTTGCAGTTCTTTGTGATAAGGTGGTAAGTATCTCCATTGTAGTTCACTGACTGTAGCTCCATGAATTGCCTAACTTGAATGGGATCTAAGCATGTTGTACCGAGAAATATCGATTTCCTGAATCTGAAACCAGGGCATTGACGAGGCTCTACTTCAAATACTCCACTTGAGGGGTAGTCATGTGCTCCAAATGCATATTCAACACCATGAACTGCAGATGAGACAAAGGCAAATCAGGATAATATGTTATTCAATAAACCAGAGCTGAAATATTCTTTCAAAAGAAAGCCATTCAATAAGATGTATAACCAAAAGATCAAGCCACATTTTCTCCTCTCTCTGTAACCAGTTATTAGCCTTATTTGTTGTCTTCCATATTTTGCAAGCAGCATAGCATATCTTTAGTAGTCTGTGACAAAAATAGAAACTACACTGGTGCATTTTTTTTTTCTTTACAAACCAGCCAAACGTGCACAAATGAGTTATCCAATATTCATATCCTCCATTAAATCATATGTGACAATGGAATATATCAGAGTAACAATGATGTGCCACCACCAGTTCAAAAATGATCTAGTGGGAATTCCCAAAACTTGTGACCATGAACTAGCAACATTAAACAATACTTGGTCAAATTACTAAGGGGTTATTGTTGTTGGCCCTTGTAACATCTTAAACTCCCCAAACCCTTGCACCCCTAAATACTAGCACTACCCTAAGTCCAGCATGTAGCCCAGCACTATCAAAGTGCTCATCCTCCTTCCCTTTGTACACAAAGCAAGCACAACAATGTTTTTTTACAATTCACCAAATTGGTGCCCCTCCCCACTCTCATAGCTTTCCCTGGTACTCATTTCATATGAAACACGCTAGCACTGAAAGTTATTTGGCTACTGGTGGTGATGTCTGATGAGAGATACTACAGTTAAGTTACTACTAGTAGAAATCCTTAGGGAAGGAAACATAATTTATCACCAAGAAGCAAGCACTACAAAGGCAATGGTCATTCATGGAAAGACTTGCTTTCTCAATGCATGCTTTAGTAACAACTTGATAAGAGAAAGAAAGTAGTGTTGATTATTAGCTCTACTCTTTCTAAAACATCAAGCAGCAGTGAAGAATGCAGAGAAAATAAGCCATCATACAAATTGCACTTTTGGAAAAGGTGTACATGGCAGAGAGAAGAACCTTCAATTCCGGAGTGAAATATACCAAGGCCTGCCCAATATACATAGCCATTCATGGGTGTTAAATCATACACATTAAGATAAACTGGTGTGTCATCTGGAGATTGACCCGCAGCCTGAACCTTGGGAAACAAAAAGAAACGCAGTGCAGATTTCCTGCTCAACTGCAGAGGCATAAGTGACTTCCATCCAGGTCTTTTTGGCCTTAACTTCATATTCCTGCAAATAAGCAGGTGGGACATTCAGATATGAAGGATCAATTTCAACAAGTGCTAGTATTTGATAGCATTTCTTTCTTGTTCTAGGTAGATTAAAAGCTTTCAGCAGGGAATAACAAAACTTAGATACAACAATGAAAAGGAAGGATTATGTTGAATGATGAAAAGGTTAGCTCAAAGATTTTCTAGAAGAAATGTAAAAACATTACAAAAATGCTCCCCGTCTATACTAAAATTTTTAAATCAGCTAATTACCAAGAAGAAAATAAGGCACATTAGTTCAGTGTTCTCTCTTCTAGTCTTACTAGTTACTAGCTTGCTAACCATAGCATCTGCATTAGTCACATGATATGAAAATAAAAGATCTGGAATACTAGGAAAGGCTAAGAGTTCTTCCAATAACTCTTGCAATGAATACTGTTCACCAATTCAGCCCTTGACCCTTGAACATTTACTTCGATATTTGTTAAGTTTGAGTTTGGAGAGAACATCAGCCAGCGGATTACCATGAAGCTAGTCATTTCCAATGTCAAACACCAGTTTAGTCTTACCGCTAGGAGAATTGCAAGTGTTGCTTTTGGCTGGACTTCCTCTTCTACTTCTACCAGAAGTAATTTGAATCAAAGCGTACATACATTTACAGAGCTCTCATTTGAAGCGAGAACCAACAGATCGGATCTACTGTTCATTTTCCCACCTAGTGTCCACTAAAGGATATGTTAAAGATTACTCCTTTTTACATGGTGCCGCGGTTAATGCAGCAATGATCTTCAGCCAGCACCCAAAACAGTACCCAAAAAATCACTCTTTTTTAACAATACAACAAACAAGGTACGTACCAACTTGTATTTCCATTACTAAAACTAGTCAATAAGGGAGCAGTGTCACATACATCACCTTAATTCCAACAACATGTTCTGGTAAAACTAAACAGGCTGCACTATTGCTACGAAAGCAACATCTGGTACACCTACCAAACTGAACTGAAACTTCCCCGAAATAACTCCACGGTGACTCACGCTAAGAACAGATTTTTTGACATGAACGAACGACAACCCGTAATCCCCCCGTCGGGCCCTCCTACCGAATCAAGAACCAGGCAAAACCAAGAAAGCCAAGAGAGCCCGGAGCGGCAGATCCAGGCCAAGATCTTGCCGCACCTGGGACAGCCAAGAAAAGCAAACGGGCAGCTTACCGTCGAGCAGAGACGAGGGAGGAGGCCAATGGCGACGCCGGGAGCGGGGACGCCGGTGCCGGTGGGGGAGCCCGCCGCCGAAGAGGGGGAAGGAATCCGAGGAAGAGGAGGAGGAATTCTTGGAGGCGCACCAGCTGGGTGGGGTGGTGGTGGTGGTGGTGGTCTGGTGGAGTGGCTGTGGCGTTTGCTTGGTTTTTTTGGGGGAGGTCTCGTGATGGCTGGGGAAAAGCACCGCGGAACAGGGGCCCCTATGGGAGGGTCGTTTTTGTAATTTATCGCCTTGTCTTTTTCAATTTTTATTTATTTATTTATCCCTCTCACTTCCTTTCTTTTTTTGAAAGCTCTGCCTCCTGTGCACTCTCCGTCCTAATAAATCAATGTCTCAAAAAATATAATAAACTAGTACTCCCTCCGTCCCTAACTATGAGGAATTTTCGTTGGATGTGACATGTCCCTAAATAAAGAAGATGTCCAGATTCATTATAGTAGGACACGTTACATTCAACCAAAATCTCTTATATTTATGAATGGAGGGAGTATTAGATAAAATATATTCTAATATTACGAATCTAAAAAGTGATTTATCTTTTTTAAGTATTAGATCTTATATTCTAAAACAAACGGAGTTAAATTAAAATAGACTATATTTAGATTTATAGTTAGAAGTTAATTTATTTTAAATGGAGAGAGTATATTCGTACAGTACATTAATTGGAGCTTGTAATGACTAGTGAGAGAAACGACAGACAGACAGCCTCTATGGAGAGCTGTGCTAATGGCAGGTTTCAGGGGAGGAGAAAGTGCCAGAATCCCTTTTTGATTTTGATTTTTTTATGGTGCTTTTGATTTGAAATGAAGATTTACTCACTTTAAAAAACCGAAGATTTTGGAACTCGTGGGGGATGGGGGTACTCATTCTGTCTACGATGAAGTTTTGAAAACTAAAATACTCCCTCCATCTGAGGCCGAGTGTAGTTCCAAATTTTTTTTTCAAACTTCTAATTTTTTCATCACATTAAAACTTTCCTGCACAAACAAACTTTTAACTTTTTCATCAAATCGTTCTAATTTCAATCAAACATTTAATTTTAGCGTGAACTAAACGCACCCTAAATATAAGTACATATGACATACACCATCACTATAAGGATATTAAGTGCACTTATATTGGGATGGAGAGAGGATAACCAAGGCATTTACTGCACTTTAATTTCTTTACAACGAACTGACGCCCAGACTTGCGCCAATTATTCATATTTTAAGCATATTTTTAAATAACAATTTGAACCGAATAGCATACTTTCTCGAAAGGATGAGCCCTGTGCAAGCTTAATAAAAAAAAATCAATTCATTCAAAATGAAAGGACGATCCACGGAGCCATGAATGTTAGAAGATCTCATGACTACGGTGCCAAGTTGTCACTTGTTTCTTTATACTTTATCTCATCGCTAATGGTCCCAAATGCTGGAGTATATTTTTGTTGCCATTTGGGACTTTTTGTAGCCGGGGTCCTATTTCTTCTTTACAGACATATTGCATGGAAACTGTCTGGAATCTTTGAGCTGATTAGTGGCATGTTAAACTCAATAATACTCTGCTCGAATCTCGGCACTGATACAGCTTTTTAGCTGGACTAAAACTGATTCTGTTAAATAAAAACAACTATTTGCTCAAATGCTCTGCTCAGTTTGAATATTACCTGTACTCTTGTGGTTGACCTGGCTGTAGAATTCGTTCTACTGGTCGTTAGTTCGAATATGGGTAGGAGTACTATTTCAAATGGGTGACTTCACAATCAAGGGTACTAGCTATAATTTCCGATGGAAGTGCAATTGTGCAAGTGCTTATGGTACAGGAACACAATCATTAACGTGGGGGCTGATTATTAACGTACTACCGTGTTTCCCCCCAATCATTCACAGCAATTAGCCAATTCTCATGTTATTATTATGCACAAACACATGTTATTCAAAATTTGGAAGGCATATTCTTTCCGTGAAAAGTAAAATATAGTTGACAAATGACAATTTATCATTATTGAATTAGTGAACGTGGCCAGCACACCTGTCTCAAACCTCTGCCGAAAACTAAGTTTGGATACTTTTCATTTTCCGTCTGATCAATTACCAGTTTTTATTTTCAAAGAAGATAGTACTAATGTATAACTAGTCGAGAATTGTTTCCTTGACATGATTGCCAGATTACGTTTTTGTGTCATTTGGCGCTCCAACCTCCCCTGTACTCTGTGTACTAAAGGCACTCGCAATGGTTATTTATAGGCTCTCTACAAGAGATCCATGTCAGCATATTTATCTACTTGGAAAAGATTAAATGAAGAGAGAGAGGAAAACTATCTACTAACCTAGAGATAGTCTATAGAGAAAAACGAGGCAATGGATTAGAGAGTTATAAATACCCATGTAGACATACTATTAAAGTAGTTTACTATTAATCTAGTTTATTGCTGAGATGTACATGTTTTATAGATAACACCTTACTTTATTATTGTGGGTGCTCTAACAGTGCCCACTAAAGCATTAGTATCAGTATAGTACTAGTTAACTTGATGGAGGCAGTAAATACTCCAATTTACTGTGCTGTCTAATGGTCCCCTGACCCAAATCACAATCGGCTAGATCATAAATTTTGCTTATCTCTTACCCTGGCCTCTAGGGAGGCTGGCTGATGGTCCTGCCATTTCACATGAACGTACCGTTCTGAATTTCTGATATCTTACCTTCACGACTTCTACTCGGTAGCAGTAGAGCGCCGCTTACAGGTCGTTCGTTACTCGTTACTCCTACCCATCAGTTGTGGGTTGTTTACTACCTAAATCAACTCTATCAAATTTTAGTCATGCTACAATTTAGCATTGCTAATATTTGGTTGGGTTGAAATATGTAGGTTTTATTTGGTTTGCTATCTTTACTAGATTTTTGTGACACAGCTTCTAGTAGGTCCAAAGTTTGGTAGTGGAGATAAGTTCTGGTCCTATTTAGATTGTTATCTTGCAAAATTTTGGTGAAGTTAAGGGCATGTTCACTTTGATACCATTTTCAACCATACTATTTTTTGGTAAATGTCTACGTTTAATTTCTTGCCAAATTTGGTCAATACATAAGAAATCCTGCCAAAATTTTGACAATATTGATAAGATTTATTTTGGCTACAATCTGAACAGCCCTTGCCTTAAAACTTGGTAGGGATGTAGGGTTCATTTTGACAACAAATGAATACTTCCTCCGTCCCAGAAAAGTTGCCGTTTTACCACCCCTGGCTTGTCCCAGAAAAAATGCCGTTCGTTCAGAGAAGTGGTGGGCCTCACTACTCCCTATGCGTGGAAGTGGACCAGAAAAAACGAAGCGTTTTTTTTTCACGACCGATCTTATCCTCTCGCGGTCTCGCCCCCATCGCTCCATCCTCTCGCCCCCATCTTGACTGGTTTGCGCTTGCCCGGAGCCACCGTGCCGATCCCCAATCTCCGTCGTCCTCCATCGCCGCCCCCCACACAATCCCCAATCTTCCCCATCGTGATCCGGTTCATCTGCCACTCCCAACCCTAATCCCCACTCTCTCCCACCTCGATCCGGTCCCTATATCCCCAATCCCTAGCCTACTCACCTCGCCTTTCCTCTCCCCTCCACAGTCGGCGTGGGCGCGTGGCAATGGTGCGGTAGGCGGGCGCCGATTCACTGCCCGTTGTGGCTTTGGAGGTCACGGCTTGACTGGCCAGAAGGGTTGCACCCAAGCGGAGGGTGGCGGAACTGGACGTCGAATCACAGCAGGCAAGTGGAGGAAGGCGAGGTGGATGTAGGCGCCATGGTGGTGGGTTGCTCGGCGCCGACAGCGTCCAGGTACTCACCGACGAGCACCGTGGTGGTGGGGTGCTCGGTGGTCGGTGCCGACGGCTTCCAGTTACTCACCGAGGAGCAGCATGCATGTGGATACTTTTCTGATGCGGAGCGACATTCAGTATGTTGTTGATTCATTTTTTTACTGCAATAGTTGCAATTGTGTGGAACATTCTGGGCTGTATTCAAATGGGAGTTGAATCTAATAATTAAGGGTAATTTAGTCATTTGTGCTGAACACTCATTTGTGTATGATTCTTTAAAACGACACCTTTTCTGGGACGGAGGAAGTATCCTCTTATCTCATCATAAGATAACTTGACCCAACGATATAGCTTCTCTCGTATCCTAACCTGTAATTTCAGATTCGAAATTTGAGTAACGGATATCCCATTTTATTCTCCATGAGCTCTGAGTAACTGATATCCTCTCCAATATTGTCTCCACGAGCTATAGTACGGGTATCCTATTTTCTCTCCCAAAATTTTCAAACGAGTCAGGCAATCAGGCAATCGATCGGGAAATATCCATCCGTTTTCACCTCTATCCAGGAGTTGGCGGTGACACTACAGTACCCACCATGAATTAGCTCATGTAGCCACTGGCATTGATTGACAGCACAAGCGCCTCTCCCAATGAGTAATTAACAAAAGAAGCACAGCTCGGTGACAACGCTATAAAAAGTTAGGGCGGAGGGAGTGAATAGCTTCAACAGGTGACGATAGAAAAATATATGAAGCAATATTTCTTTTGCTACGCTGAAAAAGATCGCCAAAATGAACTACAAAATTAAGTATCAAAATTTAAATTTTAACTGTAGCTAATAAGCCAACAAGCAGACGAGAATAAAACTTTATTGGCCATAACAAGCCGATTATAACAAATATTCAGACAAGTAGTAATAGCGTCACTGTATGCCACAAATTAGTATAGGCACGAAAGGCCTTGAAAATGAATACATCTTTTACGGTAAACAAAACGCAGATATCCAAGATTGCCAGACATTCTATGCAATATCACTGTGCCAGTACATGGTCAGACAATGGGCTAATCAAGACACCAAAATGAGAGTCAAAACTGTAACATCATGATCATTGCTATAAGTATGAATAATATCCAGTAGTGTCTGAAAGCAAGAAATCTTTGTTGATTCCTCATCTAGCTCAGATAGCATTTCCCTGTCAAGATTATACCCAAATGAAAAAGAAAACGCACATGTTAGAGAAAGGGGATTGTTAGAGGTAGAGACCTTTGACTGTCTTATTTGATTTGGAGTTGAGCAACTTGTTTGCTATCCAGCTTGAAAGGAAGGAAATCGATTCCACCCATGTAAGGTTGCAATGCTTTTGGAACTTCAACACCATTCTCCCTCTGGAAGTTCTCCAAAATACAGCAAAGGGTCCTCTCAGTGGCAGTCAATGTTGAGTTCAACATATGAACAAATTGCTTGGATTGTTCGTCATTCTGCAATTTGAACATTAAATCATTGGTAATAACAGATGAATTTTAAGATAATTTGATCCACCAGCATCCAAGTGAAATGATACCTTTTTCTGGCCATAACCTATACCAAGTCTCCTTGCTTGAAAATCTGTGCAATTTGAGCAGGACACTAATTCCCTGTAGGTTTTTGATGCAGGGAACCATGCTTCTAAATCATACTTCTTAGCTGCAGCATCATTAAGAGCACCAGACACGATGGAGACAAGTTGATACGGTAGGCCAATCTGTATAATGGACAATGAAGAAATTATTAGACATCAAAAGACAGTTCAGGATGTAACAAGGTGCTTAAGATGTACGAAGCTTCTGATCTCTACCTCCTTGTAGAAATCTTCTGAATTTTTAATCATTTCTTCATGCATCTCCCAAGATTCATTGTCATTTGGACTTGTGACACAGAATTGTTCGATCTTTTCAAATTGGTGGACTCTGAAGATACCAGCCGTGTCCCTCCCATGTGAACCAGCTTCTTTCCGGAAACAGGTGGAATATCCAGCATATCTAAATTGGCAAAATTATCATCAAACTGCTAGCGCACATCAACCAAACCAAACCAAACCCTAAATTTAGACATTACCCACCTAATTGGCAATTCAGCAGGATAAATTCGATCACCAAGATGATACGCACACAACGGTTGCTCAGATGTAGCTATGAGATACTTTTCCTCTCCATCGCCTGTTAGCTGTCAAATGGAACTACTTTTTATGAACTTGTTACATTAAAGAAAAAAACTGACATCATACCACTGAAATTACACTTGATCAGACTGAATGTATCATTTCCATGCTGCTTAACTATAGTTACTACAAATTTGTGAACATAGAACAGCAAAATAGTATATTGATGATTACCAAACATATTTTAATTCGTGAAAACATTAAAAACCACAACTACGATCCTCAATACAAATGTAATATGTATAAAACCAGAGTTTCATTTGTCTTGCCTTGTAAAGCTCTTCGTCGAATTGGGCCAACTGGGCACATTTTCCCATGGTTTCCTTTCTCATGAAAAAAGGAGTTTGCATTGGCTTGAAGCCTCGCTTTCTCAGAAAAGCAAGTCCAAAATTTATCAATGCCAAGTTCAGTAGCACACCTTCATCCTTTAAATAGTAACCCCTTCCACCTGCTACATCAACACCTGCAAAAATTGGATAGGCAGTAAGTAACCTATAAATGTGAGAGAACAGAAAAAAATGGCAACAGTGGGATTCTGTGAATAGGGATCAAAGATCCTTTTTTTAAATTTTACTCAAATAACAATTATCCATGATCTTAAATAACAACTCATTCTAAGATGTTGGGTTTTTATACTCAAACAGAAAAGGTGATTCCTTGCTAGATAGTCCCATTAAGAGAAACAAAATGGAAATCTATCTTAAGAGAAATGCATGGACAAGCAATCAATAAGCAACTATAGTGGGGAAATCTATCTTAAGAGCAATGCTGGAAATGATAATAACCAAAGAAGAACAAAACCACAAGCAACTATAATGGAATCTCAGGCAGAAACAAGTTATTCCGATAACTATCAGTGAGAAAAGAATTATGGTTTGAACTTTGAATAAACTAAAACTAAGCAACCATTTTATAATGGAAGTAACTCAAATGAGAGTAATTCTTTTAGCATATACCTTTCTCCAAAGCTACAATGTCAAGCATCTTGCAAAGATCCACGTGATTCTTCAAATTCCCTTCCATCCTCTTCTCTCCCCATGTCCGTACAATTAAATTGTTTGCCTGCAAAGAAGGAATCAATCTCTACATCTACGTAGATAATTTCAAAGGAATTCAGAGCGACTGTTTCACATTTGTACAATTGGATCCATAATTGCCATGATCATATGTACCCAACCTATCCCAAATCAATCCAATGTTGCTCATGTATTACTAAGCCATCCTAAGATACAACAGCAAAAACTTCTTAATCCACGCCACTAAAGAGTTGTACCAAACAAGTTGTTCTATTGTCTGCATTACAAACGTAAGACAAGTCGACAAGTACTTCAAAACCTGCACACCTAACAAACTAAACAGCCAAAACCGTGCTAATTAACCCTAGAACCACGAAATCTAAGCATTCCACTTTGAACGCACCTCATCATCGCTGACAGGGACGGATTCGTGCACAATGTTTCCGATCGTCACGAGTTTGGCATCCAGCGTGCCTTTGGCCTCCTGCACCTCCGTCTCCTTGGCAGCCAACCTCTTCTTAATTTCTTCCGTGCTCTGAATCAGAGCCGATGCATCCTCCTTTTTCTGCACAGCGGCATGCTAACCGTCACACGCAAATCGAAAACCCCACGACGTGCCCACAAAAGGGGATCAAATCGAAGAAGAACGTACAGCCTTGAGCTTGCCGATTTCCTTGCTGGTTTTGTTGAGCTCCTGCCGGATTTTGTCGAGCTCGAACTGCCCTGCGGCGAAGAAGTATAGCTAGGGATCAGGGACCGCGGATCTGCAAGGGTTCGATCAATCCGGGTGAGGAGAAGCCCCTCTCTTACTCTGGCGCCACTGGTCGTCGAGGGCGATGACCTCGTCGACGAGCTCGACGGAGGCGGAGCGGTTGCGCTGCGACTTGCGGATCAGCTCCGGGTCGCCGCCCTTCTCCGTGCGGAAGAGGTTGATGTCGAGCATCTTCTCGCGCCGACGGTGGGAGGAGGCGTGCGACCGGCGGCGGCAGCGGCGGTGATGAGGAGTAGAGAGGAAAGGCTAGACGAGGAGGGTTTTGCACACGGTTTTGGCTTTTATGGGCTCGGCAAACTGAAACAGCCCAACCCAGTGTCCAAAATCGCTAGGATGGGCCCAAGTTGGGCCAGCAAAATAATAATATAAATAAAGTTGCTGTATATTGTAAGATAATGAAGATGCATATCGTTATCATGCGTGAACCAAGTGGGTTTAATTGAACAGAGAACTGAAAACACAATATACTCCACTTGGTAAGAACCAGGGTGAGGCCCAATGGATAATGTATGACTCTTTTGCCAACAATTTCTTAGGCCTTGTTTGTTTTTGTTCTTGACTATTCTGCACCCAGAATCAAAAATAAACACACACACACACGCTTGAGACTAGAAGTGGATTTTCATAATCAAAATCTAATTTTCTACTAAATCCAAAAACTGGCATGTAGCTGCTTTTGTGGATTACGAGTGATGATGTTCTTAACGTATCACGTAGTAATAAATTACACAATATCGACAATCAGCTTTTAAGAATCCAGCTTCTGAAAATCACAATCTGAACAGAGGGATTGTAGAATCAAAAGCAAGATCAAACATGACGAGCATCCAGGTGGTCGTGGAAGGCTCTCAAGTCTCACCTCTCAGGTAACCTGTGAGCGTACTGGAAAAATTCAGTACTACAAGACCATACTGTAGTGATCAAGCAAGAACCAGGTCTCACATACTATTTTTGCAACACACACACACAAAGGCCTCACACACTATTTATAGAATTTCAATACTCTGGATACACCCGTTTATTTGCCACAACCGGAAAATTTGTACAAGAACTGCTATTTTTCTAAGTACTTACATTTAGGCAAGCAAATTCATACAGTGCAATTCACCAGACTGCAAGAGGACTGCAATACCTCAAAAAAAAATGCATATCATGGCCTCCCATGGCCATGTCCATATCCAATGTGATCCTGGGCATTACCATCCGTACATTAAAGTGGACAACAACAAGCACCATATCTGAATGATAGAGCCAAAACAACGATAGGATCTAAGGAATACTATCCAAAAGTAACTGTATTGAATTCTTTCCATGCCTCCTGAAAAAAAAAGGGAGATATTGTGTAAATTATTTTACAAAAATCCTGATTTTTTTCACTGTCTCGACTCTCAATGAGAACCACAAGAATCACACGAGGTGTTTTACATTGTAAGAAAATCAACTTGAAAAGGAGAAATAACACCTGCAATCCGTTTAATATCCAAATAGGTACAAGCTTAAAACTTGGCTGTTAGTGACTTTTAATGGATAGCATTTGAGATAATTCTGAGGACCACTTCTACATTAGCATAATTCCATAAGGGAAAAAACACAAAACGAAACCTCAGTAAAACAACATGATACCAGATCTGCTACAAAACTATACCATAAACTTCACAAATTTTTTGCCATCAACTCATTGTCAATCAGAAAAAAATATTTGGGATAAATCCAGAGTACCTGTAGAATGTCAAAAACCTTTTCTGCTATATACTTCTGATGCATAGCAGCTCCTCGTTGTTGCAACTTATCTGGATGAAGGCATAACAATGCCTTCTGATAGGCCTTCTTAACAGCTGCTCCTTCAATTATATCAACAAGGGGGACTGGTTTCCATCCACTCTCAGGCCATAGAACCTAAGGAAGCACGAGAAGTTAACACAAAAAAGAATAAAAGCACAGTTGTCACGATATCATACTCCAAAGTGATCAACAAAAATAGGAACAATAGAATAATTTTGAAAAGGTAGAAAAAAGAGGTAATGGATGCAAATGTGGGTTTAAAAGTTGAAATATTGCTATTAGAAACCGAGTTAGTATATGTGGGCACCCCAGGAAATATATCGTCCATTGTTCAACATGACCAACACATGTATTTGGATGAGTGGGATCCATACACGCATAAATAGCCACTCATCCTTAGTGTGTCCATAATCACGGTTGACACCTTTCATTATATTAACCACGATGCCGAGTAGTAAGAGAGATATTCGATAGAATAGATTGTCAGTCAACTTCAACCAAAGACATGCTCGTCAAACCACTCGAAGGCGGTGACCAAATGTGTTATATATCTCAGGGGACTTGACCAAACGCTACATTCCACGATCATCTCAATTACTCAAAAACTCTTACTCATGCTTAGCTAGTCCCCAGGAAAAGCGACTAACCTCACACATTCATTGCAAACAATTGATAGCATATACTTCCTCCGTTTCATAATGTAAGACTTTCTAGCATCGCCCACATTCATATAGATATAAATGAATCTAAACATATGTGTGTGTCTAGATTCATTAAAATGTATATGAATGTAGGCAATGCTAGAAAGTCTTACATTATGAAACAGAGGGAGTACTATGAAATCACATGCAAAAGATGTTCTTGCACTCACATATTGTAGTGTAGAAAGCAATGACCTAATATTTCCTTCTTTTCCCTTTGACCATTCCCAGATTTTGGATTCAGAAATCTACATTGAAATGGGCAAGAAAGTTCAGAATTGGAAAAGAAAGGTAATGGGAAAGGAGTGACAAGTTGCCACACCAATTCATGTTGTGTGCACTACCTTTATTTGCTCTTTTTCCTCATTATTACGAAGAATAAAATCTTCAGAGACATCCTCAACCTAGTTTATAAAACAAAACAAACGGATATATGCAATTATAAGGTTAGGCAGATAATGTATACAAACAAGAAACAAAGGCCAAATGACAAATAATGGAAGCAGCTTTCAGCTTTGGTCGACAAATTAACTGGGTTACAATGATCTGTTTAATGGGCAGACAATTTTCGAATTTGCTTAGACCTAGAAGCATATAATGACTTCACAAGTATGACATACCACACATTCTTCAAGATCTTCCACTGGACCTTCCGCAAGATCTGTTATCTCATCTACCTTATATTTTGTTTGGGCATCGCTTGACTCTAGTAAGCAGAACAAGAAGAAATATTGTATATGTTATTCTTGAATATTACACAAGCAACACTAGTTTCAGAAAACAAATGATGACACCAAGCATACAAAAACATGCTCTTAAAAAGGAACTTCCAGAGAAAAAAACTAGCAGAACATGAATAAACAATTCTACCGTAGTCCCATAATTTCAATGTGACTGTTGCAAATATAACTAGCAGAAAGTCACTGAATGATTAACACGAGCATCAAGAGGTTAAGAATGACATGCGTGAGATTTTAAGACTAGCAAAACATGGCAATGGTTTTACTGCTGCAGTTGTCTGAAGAAAGGAAAAGAAAATATCTTAATTCATTCAAAGGTATGCATATCTTACCATCAAAAGAGGGAGGTGTAACTTCTTTTCTTCCAAAATCTGCCTTTGAATCCATTTCATTATCCACTGTAAAAACCGGTATCTCCGTCCTGTCTTGTGCTTCGCTGATCTGGAACAAGTCAAAGATTAATCCAACAGGTGTACTCTTCTTTCTAATATAAAACCACCTATCTTGTTGAAGACAGTACTCACAAAAGAAAAACAGACTTCTAAGAAATTGATCAGTATTCAGAGAATTATCCTGGTCTAAGATCAACTTACTGGAGAGGGTACAGGAGGGAACACATTCTGCTTGTTCATATTGGCTGTTCTGACATTGTCATCGACCTCCGAATTGGATATGCTAAATTTATCTTCAGGACCACTTTTGCTTCCGTTTTTCCCACTGGATGTCCGATCTCGTTTGCTCTTCGGTGAACTCTCAGGACTAAATATTTTCATGAAGTCCTTTACTTTTCCTTTCACTCTGCTGCCACGACTTTTCTCTCCTGAAGGTGACCGAGAACTTTTAGAGCTGGGGCTAGCTCCTAATACATTGTTCTTTGCATTATTGGTGTTATGTTTTGTTCCTGCAAACAAATCACATCAGCTTCAATACATTTATTTATAGAATTGCATTAAAAACATGCAAAGAAGATTTCATAATATTCATGCAAAAAGACATGCTCTTTTCTATATGACAGTAAAATAATCTGATTGAAAAACAAAGAGATCTATCCACTCTTCTTTCCTTAACGACTGCAAATGACCCAAAAAAATATGTTTACAACAGATAGCTTTGATGTCAACGCTACCAACAATATGTTTCGATAATGACATGTGGATGTGCACAGAACTCTAAACAAAAGGACACCTGATTCTTCAGATTTATCGCCTAGCACGTAGTCATCAAAAGCTAAAGGAAGGGCTCCATCCTTGGTTTTTAAGAGTGCCCCTAACGAGACATCTTTCCCAGATTTGTAGTCTTCGTAATCAGTCTGACTCTTTGATGCTCCAGTGGCAGTTGACGTGCTATCTTCTTCATCAATTAGGTCCATACCTTGCACAATCACTTGAGGGAAACTCCTTACTCCAACAATATCACCAGCATTTTCCTGTGCAGTAGTTGGCAATACCAAAACGGCACCTTTCCCTCCCCATTTATAGAATGAAAAATGGAACTTGTTATTGGCAATGCTACTTTCCAAGCTAACAGGAGTCCCTTCGTATTCACTGTCCATAGAGCTGACATAATGGGAGGTGTCCTTCTTATCTCCACTGTTAGAGCGAAACCGGGATAAGAAGGGATAGCGATGCCATGAAAAAGGATTCTTTGTGGAATCTTGTTGGGGTGCCCCTTGGGCTAGAAAGCTGTTCATGGATGAATTAGGTGAAGTTGGAACACTGTAAGCATATGATATTCCATCATCGTTTTTGTTGGATGTATGCCGAGATGGAGAAGTAGGGACAGAACTGTCCAGGCCTCCGTTGAACTTCATGGAGAAGCTGAAACACGTAGATATGAGTAAAATCAAAACAAATGTGGAAGTAAAATGCATCATACAAAAAAAGCAAAACGTTGTGTAATCAGCAGTTGTGTGCATGTCTAAGTGGAACTAAAATTCAGAACATCTGATCAGATAATAGTAAGTAAATGTATCATTTCTCTGCATTTAAGTTTTATGATCGACAAGTAACTATTCATCATTCATGAATCATGAGTTACTTGAAAACTAGAGAGTAATCAACTTATCATTATCAAAATAGAGGAAAGGGGCACATTTGCTAAACAAAATTTGTCCTGGCTAGAGAGGATTCCATAACAAATCAATCAAAATAGAGGATAGGGGCACATTTGCTAAACAAAATTTGTCCTGGTTAGAGAGGATTCCATAACAAATCACTACAATTGTTCATATCACTTCACTGAAAAACTAGGTAGCAAGCCAGGTAGTACCTCGAATGCAGGCGGCTGGTGGAACCGGGTGAGGCCTGCGCACCAAACACATCCAGATCCCCCGCCGCGCCTCCCCGCCTAGGTGACATCGACTCGCTCCCGGCGAATATGTCCTTGTAGAATTCCTGCCCGAGCTGCCTCCTCCGGTCGGAGCTCGTGCGGTCCCCGAACACGGGCCTCTCCTCTGCCCCGCTCCTCCCCTTCGTCGCTGAGCCGAACGACGAGTCCATCGACGAGCGCCTCAGGCTGTCGTGCCCGGACGAGCGGCGGGGCGGGCCGCCGAAGACGTCGGCGAAGTCGACGTCGGACCTGCTCGGGCGCTCCGCCGCCGCCATGCCGCCCTGCCCTCGAAGCGCCGCCGCAGCGCAGCGGGAGATTGTTTCGAGCGGGCGGTCGTCGAGGAGGCGCGGACTTGTGGCGGGGAGCGGCGCTGGGAATTTCGAGTGGCTGCGGTTTTTGCGGCGTCCCAGCGCGGCCGGCTGCCTCCATCGGCGGCCCGGATTTGCTTGTCCGTTGCGGCGGCGTTCTCCGCCTCACACACAAGTAGGGTGAAAACGGTTCGGAATTTTTCCGGATTCCGGACCTGTTTTTGAAAACGGAATCAACCGGTCGGAATTTTTTCGGAATTTCTCAGAAACGGAATCAAAAACGGAAATATTTTTTCGGAAACAGAATCGAATATGATAATAGCAGTTTCCGTCGGAACTCGAAATCGGTCGGAAAAATTTCGGAAAGTTTGTCGGAATTTCCGAAGTAAAAAAAGCCCATCCAAATAGTCCATAATTCCTCCCCAAGTTCCCGCCCAACCCAAGTCCCTAGGTCCCTAACTGGCTAACCCTACAGAGGCTAGAGATGAGAGAGACAGATCGAGAGAGGCGGCGCATCCAGCCTCCAGGGGGTCGAGCACGCCACCACCGACCGCCTGGCTGCCGGCCTCGGCTAGTGGGCTCCTCGCGACCTCGCCCCCGCCGTCTCGCCGCCCTTCCTCTCTCTCGCTCCGTCCTTGCCCCCACCATTTTCGTAGCCGCCACCACCACCGACGAGGCAACGACGCCGACGCCGCCGACGCGGACGACACCGATGACGCCGGCCACTGGCCACACCGCCGACAGCCTCACCACCACTGATGCACGACGCCTCGCCTTTCAGCAGCCATTAGCCCAGCAGCAGCAGGTGTTCCTCAACCTCCACGGCTCCACCTCTATCACTCTTTGTTACTGTGTACGCTTCAAGTACTGAAATATTGATGAACTGATATGTGTTGCTGATATGTGATGATTGATGACTATGTAGTATGTACTGATGATGGAGTGAAAGCACTAATAGTTTATACCTTGTACCATAGTGTTTTGCTGTAATTTGTTTAGAATATTTGTTATGCAAATTATATGAAGTTATAGAAGAATATATTTGCTGTGGAGCTCAGTTTGAGGGGTTTTGTATTCCGATAAATTTTCGTTACCGTATCCACACCGGTTCGTTTTCGCTCCGTTTTCGTTTTCGATAATATTCGTTTCCGTTTTCGTTTCTGGGGTTTCCGATTCCGAAAAAAATATGAAAACGAAAATGATAAAGGTTGTTTTCATCTGTTTTCGTACCGTTTTCACCCCCTACACACAGGTCATTTTCGCGGCACGTGGCCGCGATCTCCTTCAGGAAAAAGAAAAAAGAGAGAGCCTAATTTCGTAACAGACCCAATCTAATCGCCGGCCTACTGCGTCACTCCTATTTGGGCCCAAAGCCCATCTCGAGAAGAAACCCTAATTCCCCTTCGTCTATATACAACCCCCACCTTCGACGACAACTCAACCGCCTTCCTCTCCTCGTCGTCCTCGACACCGCCGCGGCGGCGGCGGCCGCTCGTGTTGCTCCTCGCTATGTCTGATTTAGTTCGTCTTTCTAGATGTTGTTATTGCTCATGTAGGTAGTATTATTTCTCGTTTGTTTCAACTTTCAAGGGCTGTACATGTGGTGTTTGATCTTTCTCGATGAAGAGAGTACAAGCAGACGGGCGGTCTGAACTGATGCCATGTTGATATGTCTGCAGTTTCCATGCCTTCCATCTGGATTGGCATCCGAGGGAAACCATCACCTCTATTCGGTCTTCTTATTTCTTCTTCCTTTTATACGCAAATTGCTTTCTCCCTTGAGAATAGGTGCTCTGATGAGGATGCTTTATTATTTCTATGTCTGGACATCTGAGATCAATGTCTATGATTGTATTATGCATCATTCTGAGCTCTCAACAACTTGTTTTTTTTGTTCTATTTTTCTCTCTTCATATCATACTGGCGCTTAGCTTACTTTCTCTTCAGATTGGTTCCAAATCACTGGAGACAAAGCGGGTGCCCATATCTACACGGTTAACTTACCAACCCTTTGCAGCAGTTTGCATTGCTCTGGTGTCAAATGGTTTAATCGAAATGTTTTTCTTACAGACGTGTTTATTCAAGTTTTTTTTTCTATTTATGAATACCTGAATCACGTTTTCTTCCCGTCGGCAAGTGATGTGAACATTTATATGCTATCACTCAATGGAAATTTCCATGTGTGGACCAATAATCTCCGCTTATTATCTGATGCCTTCATGTAGTCACAAATTGTTGCTTCTTTTTTTTTTCTTTCGAATTGCCCGTGGCCTCATTTGTTGCAAATTTATGAATCTTCGTATAGGTCAAATGGTGGCAAATGATTTGAAAACAATCTTATCCTACACACTGAATCTTTGATGTGTGGACAAACATCTCCGCTTATTATCTGATGCCACTCATCATGTGTTATGTTTCCTCATCGAACTGTGCGTTGTATCTTCTTGATTTTATCTGTTGTTTGGGAGAAATAATGATGGTTGGGCACATTCCCAATTTATCAATTTGCTAAGTTTGTATATTCTCAAAACCTTGGAAAACATTTGCTATGAAAAAGTGTAAGATACGGTGACACTGGATTGGCAAAGTTTGGACTGGCTCTGAAGTTCAATATTTGCAAATTTAAGTGAAAATTGTGGACCGGAGGTAGTAGTATTGCTCTGAACTTCAGCACTGCAAATTGAAGTGAAAAAATGTGGACTGATACCGAAGCTGTTGTACATTGCTAACCTGCCCGAGAGCCAGCTAGGCTTGCAACTATTCTGTTGGTGGAGAAGCAGTTGGGCCTGCACTTATCTGGCCCAGTTATTCCACTGATCAAACTGTCATGGAATAAGTTCATCCGAGGTCCCTCAACTTAACAGCGAGATTTAGCGAGATTTGTTGAGATCTCTTAACCACAAAACCAGAAATGTGTACCTCTTAATTATGTAAAACCGTCAAAAAAAAAAAGTCTGGTTTCACTGACGTTGCATCCTAGTTAGAAAAAAATAAAAATAATAATATGGGACCCACATTTAAGTGAGAAGGAAATAGTAAGGGCCCACTTGTCAGCGTCATCCTCTTCCTCTCTCTTTCTTCTTCTCTTTTCCCTTTTCTTGCCGCAGAGGGGAGAGCTGCAGCAGTCGCCGCGGCGGCAAGCGGCCGGAGCGGCGGCGGCGGAGAGCGGAGTCGGCGGCTGCGAAGCAGGCAAGACGAGCAGCGACGGTCAAGCGTGGCTGCGAATGCCGACGGCGGACAAGCAGGCAGATGGAGCGTTGGAGAACGAAGCAGGCGGCAGGCAGCGATAGGCGAGCGCGGCTACTAGCGGCGACGGCGGGCGAGCAGGCACGCGGAGCGGCGGAGAGCGCAGCCTGCGGCGGGCGGCGGCCGCAGCCACCTGCAGGCCGTAGCTCGACCCTTCCCTGCCCATTCTCCCGCTCGCCGCCGAGCCCTCTCCCGGCGCTCCCATCGGCGCACGCGACCACACCGGGACGCTGGGGAGCCTGCAGCTGCTGATGCTGAGCGGCCTGCAGCTGCTGATGTTCAGCGGCGTCGGGCTGCGTGGGCAGCTGGAGAAGCACGGCATCCTCCCGTGTTGGACCAGCCCATGGTCGGGCAGGGCATGGTGGACAACCCCATGAATCCGGTTGGCAAGCTAGCTGCACGCAGCGTGCAAACTAATTAATGGGTGTTTCATTACGACAACAGCGGCGGCCGGAGGCAGATGAGGCAGCTGGGGACGGTGCCGCCGAAGGAGCGGACGCCGGAGGCGATGCGTCGGCTGGACAGACGCGCGTTCCGTGGCGGGTTCCGCGGCGTGTTCCGGAAGCAGGCGAAGCGGCAGCGGAGCATCGACGGCCTGCCCATCCGCCTGCTCGTCGTCGAGCCCTCTCCCGGCGCTCCCATCGGCGCACGCGTCCACCCCGGCCGCTCTCCTCCGCATCCTCTGCCGGTGTCGCGCCGAGGAGGTGCGCGGCGCCGTGGAGGCGGCATGGCTGGCGATAGCGAGTACGCCGTTCGCTTGCTAACCCGCCGTGGCTCCGGATGGGGAGAGGCGTGCGCCGGCTGCCGCTCCCGCCGTCGCAGGCGGTCGCGCCGGCCGCCTCTCTCCCCTTCTCTGGCGCCGGCCGCCTCCTCTCCCTCTCTCCCGCTTCTTCCCCGCGCGCCGCAGCTCCCGCTGCGCCGGCAACTGCGCCCGCTCCGCCGTCGGCCGCCATCTTCCCGCCTGCGCGTAAGAGCTGAGAAGTTGAGAAGAGAAGAGAAAAAGAAAAAAAAAAGAGAGATGTTGGGCCCACATCATTTTCTCACTGACATGTGGGCTCCCACATGTTTATTTAAATATTTTTTTGCTGATTAGGATGCCACATCATCAATACCAGCCATGTATACTGCCTTAGGACCCACATTAGATGGTTTGTAAAGTTGAGGGGCGAAGATTTCTGATTTTGCGGTTAAGGTTCATTAGAAAATCTCGCTGTTAAGTTGAGGGACCTCCGGTGAACTTATTACTGTCATCTTTTCGGCCACTCAACAAAGTGGCCGTACTTATACTCAGGTGGGCTGAAACTTGTTTCGGATGATGCAAGACGCCAATATTTATCAGGTGCATGAGTGCATCTCATCAACTTATTGGAGAAAAAACACCCATACCTAGAAGGGGCATATGCTTATATGAACATAAACTCTGTTGATTGCGGCTTGCATGGAAGATAGTACTCCCTCCGTTTAGAAAAAAAAAAGGCAAACTCTGGGTTTCCGTGTTCAACTTTAACTGTCCGTCTTATATGAAATATTTTTATAATTCGTATTTTTATTATGGTTAGATAATAAAATATGATTAATATTTTATGCGTGACTTGTCTTTTTAATTTTTTTATAATTTTTTTAAATAAGATGGACGGTCAAACGTTGGACACGGAAACCGGGGTTTATCTTTTTTGGGGTACAGAGGAAGTACTCCACTTGAAGGAGCATTGATTCGCACAGGACCGATCCTATGTGACACGACAGCTAACCTCGAAACTCCAGCATAGACAGGCACTCCAATAATTCAATAAAGGGAAAATTGCAAAAGACACCCCATAAGTCACTTGAAGTAGTTTGATATTTCACCCTCTATAAGTTATTTTGTTGTAAATGTCCACCCACATACTCAGTTTTGTTGTAAAAACCACCCCGATAAACACATTTAATCAAATCAATATGATTTCATAAAATGTGAGCTGTTAATATGGTCTTTACCAAAATTAAATACTTCTAGAGTATTGTTCATACTTTTTTTTTTTTGAGATTCTACAAATAAAACTGCAGAAGAGAGCTTAAACGTTGTCGCACGGAGTTTCGCTGTATGAAAAAAAAAAGTTCAATCAAATATAGAAAATAAGTCTAATGCAAACACTTGGACAACATTGACTTGGCTAGCTTAGCTTGTGATAACCGTACATCAGCGATATCAAAATGATTTGATTAAGTACGTGTATGAATTAGGGTGGTTTTTGCAACAAAACTAAGTAGGGGGTGGGTATTTGTAACAAAATGACTTGTGCGGTGGAATGTCAAATTTCAAGTGATTTATGAGGTGGTTTTTGCAATTTTCCCTTCAATAAATAATATGGTTAATTGGATTCATGCCATTAAAATTTTGCCGCTTTCAAAATATATCATTGATATTTATGTATTTGTAACGATACCATTGTTACTTATTTGAATCTCAGTGGTGCCACTAGGATACGTATTTTACGTGTATTGGACGAAAATAGCCTCATCTTCTACCTCTCTCTTCCCTTATCCTATCCACTTTCTCTGTTCATGCTCCTCTCAGACCCAAATCCCGTCGTTGGCGATGCCTTCCCGCTGCTCCTCGACTGCGCCGACGAAGTTGTTCCCGTTGAGGTCGAGCTCGGTCCACACCGGGAGCGCTGTGAAGATTGCCACCGAGCCCCAACCCCTAGATCCGCAGCTTCACGTAGGGCACCACGAGGAAACCCAGGGCAGCGAACACACTGAGGAGCACAACCGCGTCGACCACGGCCATCGGCAAGTGGTCGCAGAACGCCGTGGGTGACCCGCACGACGACGACCCGGTCCGCCTGGATCGGGAGGAGCATGCCACGGTGGAGTCCACCGCCCTGCTGTGGTGCTCGAACGCATGGAGGAACTCGATTAGGCTGCAACAATCCGCCATGGCGCCGCCGTCCCCCTCCCCCCCCCCCCCCCCCACCCTGTCGCTCGCTCGCGCCGCTGTGTTTCCTCGTCGTAACGCCATTGGCATGCCGACGCGCCCTGGCTCCACCCGGACAGCGCAGCCGCGTCGTCTTGCAGGCCAACCTTTCACTCCAGCAGCGTGTCGGCCAGCTGCTGTGGTGGCCACGGCGAGCACCAGCAATAGCAACAGTAGACGGAGGGCGTGCAGTAGGCGGAGGGCGGCGTGTCTCTGAGGAATTGGCGATATCTGGCAGCGGCGGTGGGTCAAGGGGTGGCGCCCGGCGGCAAGGAGTGCGTAGGACTCCACTTGCTACCACGTCTGCGCCACCATTTAGTCCCGCCATTCAATTCAGATGCCGTGGTGCTGTGGTGAAGAAGATGAACAATATGGACAGAGAGGAGAGGACCAAGGAAGAAGATGGGGGCAATTCTGTCCAGAAAAATTAGAAAATGTAGTTAAGGGATAAGTAGTAGCATATACCCAATAATCAAGAAATTATAATGGCATGGTTATAAATAGTTAAATACTAATGGTATATTTCAAAACAAACAAATTTTTAATGGCATGAATCCAATTAACCCATAAGGGCAACTCCAATAGAATGGACAGATGAGTGGCCAAGTTAAATTTTAACAAGTGTGGAGAAAAAATCCCCTTCAACAGCCTCTCTATCATGTTAGCTAAGCTATCTGAATGGCTAAATCGCACCCTCACTAGCTAAACTTGGAGAGTCACTCTCCTGGCTATTCGTGGGCCCCACCATTCGCCCTCCCACCCCATCTCTCTCTCCCCATCGCACCCGCAAGAAGGCAGCGACGGGAACCGCACGACGGCGACGGCACGGAAGAGCGAGGCGCCGGAGCCAACCGCGCCGGCCGCTGTCGGTGCGGCTGTCCAGCCGCGCCCGCCGCCGCCGTCCGCGACGGCTAAGAACCGCACGACGGCGATAGCATGGAGGAGCGAGGCGCCGGAGCCAACCGCGTCGGCCACCGCCGCCCGCGCCGTCCCCAGCCGCGCCGCCGCCGCCGTCCCCAGCCGTGCCCGTCGCCGCCGTCCGCCGCCCACGCCGTCCCCAGCCGTCTCGGGAGTGCTAACGGGAAGAGGTAGAGGAAGAGAAAGAAGAAGAGGAAGAGGGGGAGGAAGATGAGGAAGAATGGGTACAGGGGCTGATGCATGGGTCCCGCTATTATAGACTTAAAATAGAGAGGATGTATGAAGAAATTGCTAGAGTAAACAACGAATGTGACTTGACAAATAAGATGGAGAGTTGGACAAATAGACATTTGGAGAGTCGAACTTAAGAGACTGTTGAAGATGGAACAGCGAACTGCTGGAAATCGGGTGAAGGCGTGCTAGCCTATCAAGGCTGATGCAAATGCACCGTGGTTCTCATGCCGCAGCCTGGAATCCGGTATTGACCCCGCCTCTCGTCGTACGATCAGATCACGAACCAATGGTGAAGAGTGGAGACCCGGAAGACCTTCCCCTCTCCGACCCTATAGCACCCAGCTCTACATCCACTTGGAGAACCGCTACACGAACGCGACAAGCATGCCCGAACAAAACACAGGCAGGTCGAGACGGACAGGTCAGGGGCCGCATCCGCACGCACGCACGTACGCGCGCCTCCTGCTCCGATCAAATCCACCGCAAGGCGCAGCGTGTTGCAGGCTGCAGTCCGGCCCCGGGCCGCGTCTGACCAGAGCTAGCCGCAGCGCAGCTTGCGCTCGCTCGCTTCCGCCGGGTTGGGTGCCGAGCCAAACGTAGGCGGTCCATGTGGTTTGTGCTGTGGTCGCGCGCGCGCTGCACGGCGAAACGACGCTGCGCAGGACGCCCCGCCGTGCGGGTACACGAGCTGAGCGATCTCTGCGCGCTGCTTCAATTCGTTCGGCGAGGTTTCGTTGCTGCCTCTTTTTCTGTCCGCGGCAGAGTTTGGCGATGGCGCATCCGTACATTCATGTGGAGAAGATCTGCTCGTATGAGATCTTAGGACATGCGTAACGGAAGCTTTAAATTTCGAAATCTCCCGCACAGCTGATGCCGCCACACCTGCCGGCGACACGGAGCGGTCCGGACTCCCCGATCGCCGTGCGCCCGTGCGTTTTGCGTTAAGCGAGCCGTGGACGGCGAAGCACCCCTGAGATGGCAAAGGTAGGAAGTTGCACGATGCCACGCATGCTGACACAAAGTAATACAGTAACAGTGGGCGACCAGGGAGAGGACGTTGAATAGCGCAGACACGCTTCTCCGTGTCACTGTGTGTAGGCACAGACGCCACAGGGCGATCGGAGAGTACTGCAGCTGATGACAGTAGAAAAACAATCTTCCGAATACTGTCAAGCAGACTCTGGCCCAATTTTGTGTGTCGTGCACGAATCCAGGTACAAGCTGCATGGAAGTATGGAAACATCAGTTGCGTGGGATTCTCTGCACCACCACTCAATGACTGCTAATTGTAGAAGCAAGCAGTACTTGTGCACATGATGCTGATGCATATCAGGTGGCAGCCTCCACACGAATAGTAGCAGCAGCAGCAACGGCAACTCACTGGCCTAATGTGCTCCAGCCGCGAATTTTTAGGCAGGGGTCAAGGTTAGAAGAAAAACACTAACCCGTTGAAGGTGGAGAAGTGCAAGTACTGAAAAGTGTAAAGTTCTAAGCACAAATCTCAAAGTATCATATATGTTTAAATGATAATGTGAAGAAGCAAAGAGAAAAGAAAAAAAGAGTTAACCAGCACACAAACTTTAGAAAACAAGATAGAAATAGAGTAGTTGAACCAATTTATTAAAGTGGGCTCGTTAAGCTCATGAACTAAAAACTTAAATTGACTCTATTTATTAAAACTACGAGTTTAAGTTGATCGAGCCAAACTCAATACAAGCTCATTCGAGCCATGTGTTTCGAGGTTTTTTTTTTATTTTCTCGCCCAAACATGTAGAATGGACGTTGATACGAAAATGTGGAATATTAGTGTTTAGAATTGCTGGCCCCCAGCTCCTCCGCCTCGGTTCTCACGCGCACAATTTTTAAACTGTAAATTGTGTTTTTTAAAAAAAAAAATTCTATACGAAAGTTGCTTAAAAATCATATTGATCTATTTTTAAAAAAAAAACTTAATTAATCATACGTTAATGGACCGCTCTGTTTTCAGTACACACCGTGCGTGTTGGAACCCATCGTTCCGAACACTTGCTTTCAACACGTTAGTTCTTCGTCAACGGAGCTCGTTTACGATAGCACACTCCACACAATTGTCCTACAGATAATCCTATTATTTCAGGATGGTTGCAAAACTCCAAAGGTACCGTCAATATCACCGATCACTTCCATTCGGCCATTTCCCACCCAATGACCCAGTTCTACACCAATAAAACCCGGACCCCATTGCGCCGGTTCCCGACTTCCCGTCCAACCCACAACCTTCGTCCGCACACGTTTCCCGATATATACACAGACACGGCGAGCCATTGCGCCAATATCCGCCAACGCCACTTCCCCCGCACCTTACCGTCCACGCCACCGTCCTCCCTCCCGGACTCCCCGCAGCGTTGCCCCCTCTTCCATGGCCAAGCGTCTCTTCCACTCGTGCCGCTCCCCCTCCGTGGCGGACGCCGTGGTCACCTCCACCACTACCCTCCTCGCCACCGACCACCCACCTTTCTTCCCGGGCAGCTGCCCGCGCCGTGTTCCCCGCCGCCGACCACAGCAGCCGCCTCCGGGTGCATGTGCCGCTGGCTATGCGGCCGACGACCTCACACCGGCGCGCGGGACGCCTGCGTACCGCTGGCTTAAGAGCTCGCAGTGGCACGTCATCGAGGCCGCCGGGATCACCGACGACGACCACACGCCTCGCCTCAAGATCGACGCGCGGAGCCGGCTGCGGCGCTCTCGCCGCCGCCTGCACCGTCGGGCGGACCCCGTCAGCGGGTCGTCGGGGGACAGCGGATGGTTCACCAGCGACGAGGACTCGTACGCGAACAGCTGCGGCGTCGGCGTCGGCGGCGGCGAGGCCGAGACGCTGGTGACGTCGACCACCACGGAGTCTTCGTCCGGCGCGAGCGGGAACTGCGGCGGCAGCGGCGAGGTGGACGGCGTAGTGGTGGCCGGGAGCTTCGCGGTGGTGAAGCGCTCCGACGACCCCCGCGCCGACTTCCGCAGGTCCATGGCCGAGATGGTGGTGGGGCGCGCCATCTACGACGCCGACGGCCTCGAGCGCCTCCTGCGGTGCTTCCTGGCGCTCAACCACCAGCGCCACCGCCGCGACATCGTCGCCGCCTTCGGCGATGTGTGGGAGGCCGTCTTCTCCAACCCGACGTCGTCGCAGCGCCGCATTGTCACATCCGACTCTGCGATCTGCAAGGCTGCAGCGACCGTGTCAAACCGTCGGTAGAAAACAAACATGCATGTGATACGTATAGCAACGGACTAGGCCTATTACTGTACTAGTAGCTGTATCTAAGATGTGATTATGGAGAGGTAGTATGAGTACGTGTAGACGGATGTACATTAGTACTGTACGAGCAAATTTCTTTTTTTGGGTTCGTGTCTACGGAGCCTTTCATTTCTTCCATGCCAGTTCTTTGTGGTAGGGCAATGGATCGACGTGACTCCGATGTGATTTTTTTTTTAAACGAATAGCACGAGACGGGGTAGAGTTCTATTGATAGAGCAGAAAAAAATTAAAAGTTTACAACCCTGGAGGGTCGTAACCAGGAAAAAGGAAAAATATACCACCACCCACACACCGACAGCTCGAACACACACACCGCCAGCTCGAACACACAGGACCGGAAAAAGGCTAACACCGGACCGACCGTCGCTAAGCGTGACTCCGATGTGATGGGACGTGAAGTGGAATGCATTGGCACTGTTTCTCGATGTCAATCCATTTCACCCCTCGGAATTCTAGGCTATTGTTCTATGAAGGGGCACTGTCAAGCCATCTATAGCAAACAAATGTCATGAAAACAGAGGTGGATTTCGACCGAATTCTACAAGTTTTTTTAATTTCTTCGAAATTTCTATAACTCACACAGGAGAAACCATCTTCTCTCCCGGTTCACAAACCCTTTCCTCCCAGATAGCGAACTGGGAGGGAGAATCTGTGACTAATAGCGGTCTTTAGTCACGGTTCAGATACCCGGGACTAAATATACACCAACCGGGACTAAAAATGGTAGCCGCACGTGGGTAGGGCTATCCTCTTTAGTCCCGGTTGATACTAGTCCCGTTGTTGTTACCAAACCAAGACTAAAATTCTTTTTTCTTCTTTTTTTTCAATTGTTTTTGCTGTTTGCATATTGATTTCGCGCCAAACTCAAATTGACATTACAAACTCATCGAATCACAAATTCGAACATACTCAAATTGATATCACAAAATCACATATCGAATGCTTATCACAAATCAAATTGGCATCACATATTTACATATCAAATGTCTCACAACACAAATTCACAAAATCGTCATGTATTAGAATAGCGAAAAAAAATCGACACATCGCCAACACCCACCACCGCATCGCACGTGGCCAGCCGCCGCCGCCCGCCGCCTGCCTCCTCCCGCCGCACCTCCGCCTGCCACCGCTGACGCGGCTCCGCCCTTCTCCAGCCGCCGAGCGCCGCGCGGCCTTCCGCTGCGCCCCTCCGCACCGGCCGTCGGCCATCCGCGCCGCCGAGCCACTGCGCGCCCCTCCGCGCCGGCCGCCGCCCGCCTCGCTCGCCCTCTGCCCTAGTCCCCAAGCGCGTCTGCAATAGAAGAGAGAAAAGGGACCGGCAGTGATATGATAGAATAGAGAGAGAAAGGGAGAGGATAAGAAAAGAGAGGAGAATGATAAAGGAAGAAGTGGTTGCTAGAGGATAAGTGTTAGGGATTATATACTCTGCGGTGATTTTTAGTCCTGGTTGGTGGTTTCAACCAGGAATAAAAAGAGTAGATGGGAGTAGGGGGACGGACACGTTTTCAACCGTTACTAAAAGGGACTAAAGATCATAAAATGTCGGGGGGCTTTTCAACCGGTGCTAAAGATGATTTTTAGTCCCGGTTATTTTTGGAACTGGGACTATTGTAGTTTCTGATCGATCCATCAAAGATAAGTTCTCCAGCAGTGTCATAAAAGCACTAAAAACTTCCATAATTTTGAATATAATGAAATAATCTTAATTATTAGTAGTAACTCATTACTTGGTTTACTTGGTTGCATTTCTCATTTAGGTTATGTCGAGTAATTAATTAAGCTGTTCGTACTCGATACTTCCTCCTTCAAACGTATAACCATTTCTAGAGTTTTTATTGGGAATAAAATATCCAATATAAAAGGAAATAATAGACAATTTTGATTGGTCGAGATTAGAAGGTGGTGGAGAAATTAAATGTTGATTGCTTGAAATAGAAATTAACCGAATAAGTAATTATTTTTTATCAAAATTTACACACTAGAAGCCGGATTTTTTAATCTACAAATCCATTTACATCCATTGTCTTTCTCCTTTGAAAAAGCCTAATTCCCTTTTTTTTCTTCTTGATTGCGTCGAAGTTGCCTTACTCTTCTTGCCTTGCGGTTTGTTGGTTGTTTTTGCAAACCTCCAGCAAGTTCCTCTTCTCTCTTTTTTCTCTTCGGGTGGCAAAACAATCGGCCGAATTTTTTTTTAAGACGGGAGAAGTTTAACGTTACATATAAGTAATATAAGAAATTTTAGAGGGATGTGACACTTCCTATTACTATGAATTTAGACATGCTCCTATAATATAATTATTAGTTTTTTTTAAAAAAAAAGTTGATCAATATGATTTTTTGAGCAACTTTCATATAGAATTTTTTTAAAAAAAAACGTATTGCTTAGCAGTTTAAAAAGCATGCGTGTGGAAGAGGAGAGAGGTGAGTTGGGAAAAGAACTAGTAAAATAAACCTAGCAGCTAGTAAAATAAACTTTAAAGTTAATCTAAAAAGTGTAAAACTAAAATCAGCTTAGCCAGGCCGAGAGTTTGAGATGTTGAAATGACGAAATTCCGTTCGAAATTCGACGCAAATTAAGCGAGCGCCACGCATCCTATAGGAATCATTTAGAAATCGACCTAGAAAGGCCTGTGTATAGAAAGAAAGTGAAGCAGTTGATGTGATATGATTTGATGCGACATGCATAGTCTATAGAGATGCAATGCAAGCAATGGGCATTTGCCAGCGTCTGAAGATCTCAAAGCGTCTTTATTCACGCGCGCCCTTGACCTCCTGTGAGGATTCCCTGTTTCTCTCTCAAATTTCCAGTGCTGCTCGTTCTTGCGTGTCGGAGAGCGCATCCCGCATCATCATACATCATGGATTGAGCCAGGTATCTTTCTCCCAGCAAAAAGAAACGGACGTGCTATATTTATGACAGACATAAAATTAGCTTGATCACAGTTGGTCAATTTGACCCATGTAGATTGATTTAAAGAATGTTTGATTTGCTAAGTCTGTATTTATTCTATCTCTTTGTATTACGAACCTATTGCTCCTGTTATATATTAGTTTCCCATTGAATTTGCACTAGCATCTCTTCTATTCATATCTACTTACATATGTAATTTTGAAACTTACATTGTAATACACTAAAATTATATATGTAATTTTATGACTTACATATGTAATTTTAGAACTTACATCATAAATACACTAAAATTACATATGTAATTTAGAGACTTATAATGTAAATACATACCGACTATTTTTTGGTGAAAAATATGGCGCCATAGATATAGTTACTCTCCGAAAACACTGCGTTCGTAGTAGTAGTACTCTACAATTTCGATCGTGCTGTGCTCGCGACGAGAGATCGAGCGGCATCGAGCAGTAGTGCCGCTTCTCGGCGCGGCGGTGTTGTTTGAGCACTCGCGCGCGCATTTGGCCACGGACAATGGAGTAATTCCGCTGATAGGACGGGAAATTGGTGATCGCAGATCGAACGTGTTTAAACGAAATGCATCACCGTACTGTAATATTCAGGGTACGTACTACCATTTATACGATCAAAATCTAGAGCGTGTGTACATCGTATGGCGATTCGATCCCTTTTTAAACCCTTGTCAGCACTCAGCAGATCATATAATTCTACTCGTCGGTCGCTCTACTGAAATGCTACAGTTTAAGCCCCGCGAAAAAAAATAAGTGCTACAGTCTAAGCATTAGCTAGTCTGTCCGCACCGAATAAGATACTCTATGTACAGTACTAGTATCGGTTTTCATCGTCTGATGGAGTAGTTCGTCACGGTCCCACGCATATTCGAATTGTGGACTGTGGTGGATTATGGTTTCACCTCCTGTTGACTTTAATTGTTTCATACTGTGATTGATATTGTCCGCCGAATTCACTAACGGTTTTACTCGAAATCTTAAATTTTGAACAAGTCCGTAATACTGGTTGTGTTTAGTTTCACGCTAAAATTAGATGTTCAAAGAAACTAAAATGATGTGACGAAAAAGTTGAAAGTTTATATCTGTAGGAAAGTTCGATGTGACAAAAAAGTTAGAAGTTTGAAGAAAAAAGTTAAAATCTAAACAGGGCCACTATTCCATGATCTAATGTAATGTGCTCAAAGATAAGACATGTTTTTTACTAGCAATACATTCGTACAGTGCCATTTCTAATATGGACATACTTTTCCATCACAAGTGTTCCATCTGTCCAATTGGAGCATCGGACGGAGCCGCGGCCGGCCGGCCGGCCGGCCAGCCTTTACGTCGAGACGCAGAATCCTAAAGATGATATGCATTGCCGCACTGATAGCAATGAGGAAAGCGGCGACCTGAAGGCATTGCAAGGGACCCATATGCTTCAACATAACAGTAGACCTACCCAGCATGCATGCGCCTAGGCATTCAGATCTACTAACGGAGTAGCAGTACTCGTGTAGGAGTGAAATTTTATTATTTTCTGAATTTTAAATTTTTAAAAATAGACCAGCTCAATACTTATTTAGAAATTTGAACACTTTTACCACATCACCCTACCTAACTCGACGAAACAATATTATCACGTCACCAATAGTTGGTGTGACAGTTTTGTTTTTCTCTTGCCATATATGGATGATGTGGCGAAATAATTTTCCCACGCCAAATAAAGTGGTGTAGCAGTATTGTTTCTCCATGTCACTTTTGTTGGTGTGAACAAAAGGTTCATATTTGGAAATACGTTTTGGATGATTTAATTTTGAAAGAGATAAGTCTATTTTACATCCTCAAACTCTTATGTTTGTCTAAAATACATCTCAAACTATAAAACTGGATATTTTTACACCCCCTAACTTTTTATACCGTGTAGTTTACCCTCTGAATGGTTTTGTAACTTGGCTATGGCCAACGTGGCACTGATGTGGCAATCTACTCGGTATCAAAAATATAAAAAGATTATGTGTTCCACATGTCACTCTCTCATTCTGTCTTCTTCTCCTGCTATCTCCTTCCCCTCTCACTTTCACGCAACCAAGCCTAGGACTCGCCGGAAGCAGAGCTTGCAGAGTAGGAGCTGGACGCATCGCCCCCAATTTCCACATTCATCAGCCACCGACTTCCGTTTTTTCATCGCATAGCCCGAC